ACTGACCAGAGGTTGGCTGAATTCAACCTACTGTCATAATAATTTGCCTTTCCCCAATTTGTCCAAGCACAAATTACCAATAAGACTCTCAGACTAACTGCGCCCAAACTATTTTTAAGGCATCATTTAGGCTTAGGTGAAATGGAAATTCTACTAGTTTTACACACTGATGGATTCCCAAAGAAACAAACAATTCAAGTCAGTAGTAAAGGATTAATTTTCTGTCCATCGGCTGGGAAGGAGTTGGGGATCTACCAGGCTGTCTTCAACACAGTGGTTTAGAAGATGAACTCATATTCAAGGTTAAAGAACTCACCCTTAGAGAACAAAAGCTCAAAATAAAAAAGGCTTTATTTTTAAGACAAAAAAATAGCACAAACACACATCCAAATGCAAGTGAATAACTTCACTGGGTTTTATAAAAGAGAAAGCTGCACTCAGGTGTCAATAATAACTGGAAACCTCAAAGAGAGGCCCCCTGCTTCTGGTGACATGGGTACAACATGTGCTAGTCCAAGAGGTCATTCTGTGATGGCATCAATGTGGAAATGCATGACAAGAGTGAGGCGATACAAGGCAGAACTGCAGGTGGGTGAAAGCTTTAAGACCCTTTTCTCCACTCTAATATGCTCTCATTCTGCTTTGGGGAACTAAAGTAACCAGCAGGTCACCTTACAAAGAACTTTAATGTCTAAGAACACTTTCAAATACCTAAAAGAGATTCAAGGTTGTTACTAAAGTTATACAGGGAGGTCAGTGGGGGAAAATAGTTTGTGTTCTCAAAACCCAGGTTTCACACAATATGAAAAGAAGACACTGATCTTAGTAAAGGCTGGTCTTTTTCATGATGCGCAGGAACTCTTGCTCATTGACTTCTCCATCTCCATCTCGATCAGCCTCATCGATCATCTCCTGTAGAACAATAAGGATTCAACTTAGATTCATTCATAAATGAATTAAAATGACTGAGCAATGGCTTTCATAAGGTTACACGAATAGACAGTTGTGGTCCACCCATTGCAAATGTGCTGCTTTTTAGAATAGCTTGGTTCTCAAAAAGTTATTTGAAAATCAAGCAATACTTTGTCATACATATCCAGAAGAGAGCCTGAAAATCATCCTGACTAGAGGGATTCTTAAAACCTAAAATAGGAGGTAAAATTTTACGTGTGCATTTTTCTGGGAGCAAGGCCCATAGGCTTGTCACACTATTAAAGGAGAAATTAAGTGGTCAAGAGAGGGACAAGAGAACATTAGTTTTCCTTCAAAGTGGGGCTCACATCAGAGAAAATGTTATTCAGAAAAGTCACACAGGGGCTCCAAGCAGGAGCTAAGCTCAAGTCCGATGCCTTACAAACCTGCAGCTCCTCATCAGTGAGGTTCTCACCCAACTCCTTGGCCACACGCTTTAGATTTTTGAATGATATCTTCCCAGTTTCATCATCATCGAAGAGCTTGAAAGCTTTCAGAATTTCTTCTTTGGTATCTTTCTCAGACTTAGCAAGTAAAACAGATAACACAGAAGCAGTTACTCATGCAGCAGCTCACCGGCACCTAACCCCTCTACGTGGTCTTGGTGATGGCTTTCATGACATAGGTCCTAGCTCACAGGAGATCAAACGTCATCCAGGGTAGAAGAGGACAAACTCAATGACATTATTATAAACAGGCTAAAAAGGAAATATAAAGGACTGACTTAAAATATTCTTTCTATACAAAGCAGAGAGAAACAGGAATAGAGGGTAGAGTTAAAGCTAGAGGAAATATAGTGCTTGAGTTGGCAGAAGAGGGGTCCTCTCGGTGGGGGAAGGGGGGTGCAGGGAGGAAAGAGAGGGCTATTTAACTTGTTATGAGATAACAGAGAGTTACTGGGATCCCAAGTACTCCAAAAGAGGAAGAGAGGAAAATCCCCCAACAGCTCAAACTCCAGAAATTCCTGAAAGGTAGCTAAAGATAGACAGAACCTCTCTAATAAGAGCAATTTCGGAACCCACCTTTAAGGTGGGACAGCTTTACTAGGTGGTTACAGAAGCTTAAGCTTCCTGATCACTTAAATTAGTACACAAAGAAAAATGCAGGTATCATTAGATGATTTCAAAGCCACAGAATTATTAGAGTAGGAACAGACCTGTAACCTGAGACACACATGGAGTTACTTTTCTACATGCTACTAAAGCGAAGATAAGCCTCACAAAAGGGGAGCTGGAAGGCCAACGAATGAGCAATGGCCCAATGGGAACATCAACATACATCCTGGGTGGGATGACACTCAGGGGAGTGAGGTGGATTGGTCAGGTGACACGTCTTTCTTGACCCCCTGGGCCCGTTAAAATGGTGACACCTGAGGGACTAGAGAATGGGTACATTCAACCTTGAAAATGCTAAAAGACCAAATTCCCAGGGCAGTGAAAAGCTAGGCTGTTGGAAGTAACCTGCCCTCAGGCTAAGGCTGCCCAGAATAACAAATGAGAGAGAAAAGAATTTTGACCTTTAAAGTATAGGCATTTCACCTTGTCAGGCACTGTAATATTGCTGGTGTTTACAGGTTTTACTGCTTGTGGTTATCATATTGACAAATCAGTTGAGAAAAATAATCACAAAAGAGTGACAGCAGTAGTACTTTTACGACTTTACAGAGGGTAAACCAACTTTTCCTGTGATTTGTGTGGCCTTGAAGAAAGCCAAGAAGAACCTAAGCATTCTAATTTTCAGTCATAAATACCATCCTTTATCAGCTGAACCCTCCAGTTTGTATTAACTTTTCTTCAGTGAAGACATTTTCATATCTAGATTCAAATTTGTTCACCATTATGGGTGGAAAATATGCTGATTATTCCAGCTAACTTACCATTTTCTGAGTCATCACAGTCAAAAAGTCACTAAAGTTCATTTTTCCTGTCCCTTCCTTATCAATTTCGCTTATCATTTTCTTGATCTCTTCTTTCTTGGGTTCAAAGCCCAGTGCTCTCATTGCCACCTACAATGAAAACAGGATCATCTCAATACGCACATCTAAACCGTTAACAGGAACAAAAATGACAGCATTGAGAGTATTAAGCCAGCATCTGACACAATTTCATTAAAATGATTAGGAGGGGCGCCTGGGTGGCTCAGTCTGACTTTGGCTCAGGTCATGATCGTAGTTCGTGAGTTTTGAGCCCTGCATTGGGCTCTTTGCTGACAGCTCAGAGCCTGGAGGCTGCTTCAGATTCTGTGTGTGTCTCTCTCTCTGCCCCTCCCCCACCCGCGCTCTGTTTCTCAAAAATAAATAAACATTAAAAAAATTTTTTTAATGATTGGGAAACACTAGAACATTATGCAGATTGATATTTGTGTTCCATTTTATTTAATAACACTTGAGGTAAAGAAAAGATAGGAAAACAGAACACAGTGCATCCTCCCCTGTTACTTCTTGCAGAGAGATGAGGAAAAAAGAGGTACAGTGGTGACAGGGAAACAAAAAGATGTAGAGGAAAGGCAAGGCTGGCGAGTTGGAATGTAAATGGCTTACCTTAAGTTCCTTAACATCTATGGTTCCAGTTCCATCAGCATCAAAGAGATCAAAAGCTTCCCGGATTTCCTGTTTCTGCTCTTCAGTAAGCTCAGGTTTAGGACTCATCCTTTTTCGCTGGGCAGATGTTGCCATGCTTGCCTTCTTAAAGTTAGAGGCCTTTAGACGTTTTACAAACACAGAAGCACAGTATTATGTAATATAATCTATATTTTACATAAAATAGTTACAGACAACAAATTATTTTAAAATTGTTTACACCAACCAATTCCGAAGCTTTGCTTAACAGAAGAGATAACAGGGTTTACTGGAAAGATCAGTGAATCCTTCCATGCACCTCTATCCCTCCCTCTTCTTTATTTACTACTGTTTCTAGAAGCAAGGAGACCCCTTGTTCGGTTGGACACCTCTGATTGAAAATCATCCTAAAAGAGATCTAGCCAAGGAGCTGACTGCATAAATGTACAGATAACCAGGTGACCTTGATTTTGGGGATCCTAATAATTATCTAGAAATGTCCTTACAACACCCACTCGCGGTACTCCGCTTCCCTCTATGCAGTCCGACTTTAAGAAGTAACCACGCTTCCAGATTTGGCCAAATATTACTAGGTTGCTAAAATGTATATTCTGCCAATATTGAACAATAAAACTCAATCCACTTGGCACATCTGTCCCTCCTGCAAGGAGCTCAAAACATCTCCCGAATATCCCTGTACTTAAATTTTAGAATGCATGTTACCAATCAAACATAATAAACCTCCTCCCCAGTTCTATGGGTAAACTTTGGTAGAGCGAGGCGGCCAGGTCAGGATCTGAGAAGTCAGGGCCTGCGGGTAACGTCAGTTTTCTTTGTCCAGGGGCGGTCACCGAGGGGGCCGGCAGGGGAAGATCAGGGGAGCCTAAGGGATGGGTGGGCGCAGCGCAGACTGTGGGTGAAGGGGAGCAGCAGCGAATCACAGGCCCAGCTGGGCGGCAGGCGTCTCTACACTACGCTTCCGGGAAAGAACTCAGACGAAGGAGGGGCACGCCAAAATCGAGAACGGCGCAGGAGAGCTGGCAGGGCCAGACGAAATCTTGGAAGGGCTCAGCCTCTGGGCGCGGGGCACCAAAGGACGGCCTGCACTCACCATTGCCGACCAACTCCGCCGCCCGTTGTTACGGCAACCGACGTATACACTGACTCGGCGCCTTTCCCACCTCCCCACGCGCGCGGCCCTGCTCCCCATTGGCGGCCCACTAGCCGCCGCCGCCCCCCATTGGCGTAGGGCTGTGGTGGGTGGGGCTAATAGGACAAAGGCCTGGCCCAGGGCCTGGGGGCTGTGCACTCACAGCTAAGACCTGGCCTCATTGGGCAGGATCACGTTATGAGCGCCGATTGGCTGAACTAGCGCTAAACTAAGCCAATCCCATTGGCGGAGGAGTCTCGGCAGATCCTCTGCTCACGCGGGCGTGGAGAAACCGGTGCCCGCCGGCGGCTGCAGGTCTTTAAGTGCTAGCTTGGGGAGCGCTGAGGCTGGCCAAGGGATCACCTACGGACGGTAAGGGTTACGACCTCGCCCTGGGAGGCTGCCTTCTATCGGCTACAAGGCAGGAGGGCAAGGGGCTGGGTGAGGCGGTCTGGTCGGGAGGTTTCTGGTCTGGCCTAAGACAAAATTAGGGTCAGAAGGGCCAGAGAAGACCGTGACCTTGCGTGTTACAGCGGAGACTACACAAGGAGCAGCTGAGACCCAGAGAAGTGAAGGGGAATGTTGCACAGGTTTGGACGGCTGGGACTTAGAAACCGTGTCCCGCTGAGGCTATTTCTTCGAGAGTGTCCATTCTATAGCACCGCCTCCCCCCCGCCCTGCCCGCAACTGATTTTAAGAGTGGATCACTTTGGTTCTCTCCTGGCTAAAAGCAGCCAAGGAGATGAGGTGGGAGCCTGGGAACGGACTTTGAAGGAAGTGAAGGAGATATGAGCGAGCATGAGGGGAGAGGTCGTCAAAATAGACCTTTTTGATAGTCACTCAGGCGGCTAGGGGGGAGCATTCCAGGCCGAGACATTGCCATGAGCAAAGTCACGGAGGACTTTGAAGTGTGAGGGGTGCTTGGAGAGTGTGGTTTTAGATTTTCTTTTATTCAGTTTGTTTTTATCATGATAAGTGTAGTCTTTAATCCCCATCACCTATGTAACTCATCTCCCCACCTATTTCCCCTCTGGTAAGGATCAGTTTGTTCTCTATAGTTGAGAGTCTGTTTCTTGGTTTGCCTCTCGTTTTCGCTTTGCTCATTTGTTTTGTTTCTTAAATTCCACATATGAGTGAAATCATATAGTATTTGTCATTCTCTGACTGACTTATTTCACTTAGCATTATACTCTGTAGCTCCATCCATGTCATTGCAAATGACAACATTTCTTTTTTTTTAATGGCTGAGTAACATTCCATTGTATATTTATACCACATCTTCTTTCTCAGTTCATCCATCCATCAAAATATGGACTACTCCCATATCTTGGCTATTGTAAATACTGCTGCTATAAACATTGGTGTGCATGGATCCCTTTGAATTAGTATTTTTGTATCCTTTGGGTAATACCCATTAGTGCAATTACTGGGTCATTTTTAATTTTTTGAGGAACCTCCGTAGTGTTTTCCAGAGGCGCTGCACCAGTTTACATTCCCACCAACAGTGCAAGAGGGTTCCCCTTTCTCTGCATCCTTGCCAACATATGTTGTTTCCTGAGTTGTTAATTTTAACCACTCTGACTGGTGTGAGGTGGTATCTCAGTGTGGTT